CCGGCTTCCCCTCCTCACTGGCAGAGCATAAGACTGAGAAAGTCCTTGATCGGAGTAAACATTACTTAGCAAGATCACAGTATCACAGTATGCTAGAGATTGGAAGGGACCTCAAAAGATCATCTAGTCCAATCCCCCTGCCAGAGCAGGACCACCTAGATAAGTTTACACAGGAATGTGTCCAGGCGGGTTTTGAATGTCACCAGAGAAGGAGACTCCACAACCTCCCTGGGCAGCCTGTTCCAGTGTTCTGTCACCCTCACTGAGAAGAAGTTTCTTCTGAAGTATAAGTGGAACCTCTTGTGTTCCAGTTTGTACCCTAAAAATCTAAAGACATTGGTGTTATCAGCGTTGTTCCCAGGCTGAAAGTCAAAAACACAGCACTGCACCAGCTACTAAGAAGGAGAAAAATGACTGCTACTGCTGAACCCAGGACTTCGAGTCATAGATTAAATTGGACCTTTAAAAATATTCAGTACCGTCACCAAAAAGCAAGGTGTGAGTATCTCACTAAAGATCAGGGGGGTAAACAGAGATTAAAAAATTAGGTGTTAACAGAGCTGGTTTAAGACTGACCAATAGGTTTGTTAATAATTTCCTCCACAAGCCAACCTATTTTCATTTTAGTTTGATCCAGTCACAAATAAGATTCACTGGATATTACATAGAATTACTAGAATAGGGTTTGGTTTTTTCCCCTAAACGTTTTTAACCATTTCCCATGCTTTTCCATACCTCCAAGATTTAACAGCTTTCCCTTTGCTTCAGACTCAGCAGAGCACAGAAACTGGACAAATGTTTCAAACGTAGATGATGAGGTCATATCTCCTCCTGAACTGCATTACAGGCTTTTACTATGTGTATTGAAACCAGATCTGAACAAAGCATCAGATTCATACTCCTCCAGAGGACATAAAAGACAACCTCTTGCTGATCTGTTTCTCCCACGTCTATATTCTAACCCTTCAGGCCCAACAGCAGCTAGATGCTATTAAGCAGCACTGAAGTCTGCCCTATTTTCTCCATCACTACAGCAGTTTTACAAGAATATATTTTCCCATTATGGATTTGTTTACTCTCATATGATTATTACACATAACAAGGATGCTTTTCTAAAGCTTAGTTGGTGATCTATCCCCAGAGCCCTGCATCTGAACTCTCTTAGACCTTAGAGCTGCCATAAAGCTCACGGCAGCAAGGTCAGAGTAAAGGTTCAGAAAAAGGCAATGAAATCACTGCTCCATACCTCATTAAGCACCAGAAAAATGTGTTATTAATGTGAACCCCTCTCTCGACGTATATGTAACTCCACAGTTATGGATGGGCCTCAACGCACAACTGATTACAAACTTATCTGCAAGAGACTGTGTCTACAACTATGTAAGATGCCAAGTCCTTATGCAACAGAAGCAACTCTGCATGTTTATTTGCACATGGTATTCATTTTTATGCATTTAAGACCAATTAATACAAAAGCAATTTTCACTGGTTAGTTTTTTGCTGCTAAACCTAACCTACATGCTGTTTGTTCTTGATTCTCCTGCTTTTTCTAACTTACCTACAGATACTGATTCTAAGTGAACTAAATACTGCTACTCCTATTAATTTTTCATTCATGGAGCAGAACAAACTGCTAGCTCTCCAATAATACATATGATCATATTTTAGAAGTTAAAGTGCATTAACTTTTTAATTTAAGAACTAAGGTTATTAGTTGAAGACCATTTGGTGTCATTTTAATTAATTTCTAAATTGGAGAAACACTGGCTTGTGAGAACATACAAAATGGAATGTCTAAAATGCAGAATCAAGGACTGTCAAACTACTGAAACTGCTCCACCTCATTAAACCCCACCTGTACTTCTGAACACTGCGGTACTACATCATCTTATACAGGACACACATGAAACACCTCCTAGGATACAGAACACTGAAGCTCAAAGGGAGAAAAGGATGGAGTTAGGGAGAAAGGAGGGCAGGTATTTAGAGGAAAGACACACAGATTAGAATACTTGGTAATTCATAAGCATGAAATGCAAAGTCCAAAAAAATCCCTGATGGTCCGAGGCTTCAAGTATTAGTTAATATGAACTCTACTTTTGCAGTTTGGTGTTTTTACTAAAATTGCACTGAAATATGAAACTTTCAGCTAATAGAACACGTGTAGGTAGACAGCATTCTGTCTGGCATTATTTCCTTAGTTCCACGAACAATGATGCCAGAAAAACAAAATTAAATTTGGTGCAACTACCCAAACAGACAATTCAAGAGGGGAAAAAAAGATAAAAATCAACAACTGGCAGCATTCCGCAGAGAAGCTGCTATTTATTACTATGGTTATGAAGCTTAAAACATACCTTGGAAATTTTACTGATAAAGTTTCACAGATTTATGCCATTTTATGCTTTAGTTCATATGAAACTAACAACTTTATTCTTTGCAGCCCCAGCTTTGGTAAAACTTTTATTTGTGATTCAGAGTGAGAGCCTGCATCAGGTGGCAGTACTAACCCTCATATGAATCAATACCCAAAAATCTGTGTACAGTAACAGATGGAAAACAGCAGCATGAGATGAATTTTCAAAGAGAGCATTTGGTAGCCAAGCTAAAATCTAGTACCGTTAGTAGTCAGCTAAAAACATTCAATAACAGAAGTAACACATTATTCACTTATCAGTATTCTTCAGTGTCCCTTGGCAGCATGTATTAGAGTTCAAAACACAGAAGAAAAGTAATGGACAGGTGGGAAAACTACAGAAGTCTCCTTGCACACAGGTCATGTACAGATGACTGTAAGCTACTGGATTGTTAAGACTTACATGACCACTGAACCATATCATATGACAGGTTTTTGTGCCCTTATCCCACTACAAGCACCAAAGAAAATTTCTTAGTTTCAACTTTCATTCTTAAACCAAACATGGTATAACTCATTTTCATTTGCAACTTTTATGAGCTAATAGCTCAAAAAAACGGTTACTTAGCACAGATCAGCTGATTAGCAGCAGACAGTTGAGGCACAGAGATCCCCTTTACCCCCTCATGTTAATGCATGCATGGAGCTGTTGCAAGGAATCATGTGAGTGCTACTCATCCACTTCAGTGCAAAACAGGCCCACATGGCTTAAACTGCTGATGAAGGGTTGAATATCTAATGAAGAATGGAAATAAAAATTGCCTAAATATTTGCTTGCTCCTATTTTTTGCTCCACTGGAAAATAGTTGAGCAGCAAATACTTCTGGAGGAGGCTGAGGGTTCCTCGGGATTTGCAGAGATTCCAGCTGAAGCTTGACAATGGCTGTTGATGCTCAAGAGGCAGCAGTTACTCTTCTGCACCAAAATGCTGCTAAGGGTGTGAAGAAAAACAACCCCAACACTTCACTATTTGTTTTCAAGGAAAGTCTAAAAGCAGGGCCCAGAGAGTACAGTTAGTCAAAGACCAAAAAAAAAGGATGCTAAAGTGATTTCCTACATACACATGTGCAGCCACAACCACTTTGGCAGAACTGAGAATATCCCAAATATGACATACAAATACTATATATATACAAATATGTACTATGTCATAGTACAGATGTCTTTTACATAGTGATCTTGATTTCAACAACAAAAAAGTTGATTAAATCAAGTCCCTATCTTGTGCTCTCACACACCTCAACATATATCACGTTCCCATATATATGCACAGACATGTGCACACACACATTTACAAACACCTACTTTTAGAAAACCTTTCTTCCAGCACAGCCTTACTCTGCATGTTCTAATGCAAGACTCCACTTATAGATATTTAGAGTGTGGAAGTTTTCTACTACTCCAGAGTTTACAGGCTTTTATTCCATGACTATTTTAGCATGAAAAACAGCTGAATGGCACTGCTGTATGAAAGGACTTGCCTCTCCTGCCTAACACAGGGGGGTCAGGAAAATACGGTCATCCAAACACTTCCTTTAAAACCAGCATGAACTCACAACATTTTAAACTACATAGCTTGGTTCTATTTAAGAAAGAGAGATGAAATTTGCAGAATACTTGTTATGAATAGATATTACAAGGGGAAAAATAATGGTACTAGGCTATAATATCATCCTGTGTTCAGCTGTAGCAGTCATTTTTCTCCTTCTTAGTAATTGATGCAGTGCTGTGTTTTCGGTTTTAGTCTGAGAACTATGCTGATAACACACCAATGTTTTAAATTGTTGCTAAGTAATGTTTATTCCAATCAAGGACTTTTCAGTCTCATGCTCTGCCAGTGAGGAGGGGCACAGGAAGCCAGGATGAAGCAGAGATAGAATACCTGACCCAAGCTAGTCAAAGGGATAATTCCATACCACAGCAGGTCATGCCCAGTACATAAACTGAAGGGGAGCCAGTGAGCAGCTTCGTGGTTCTGAGTTACTGGCTGGGCTTAAATCACAACAGATATTCTTTAAAAAGTAACTTAATCTACATGACACACTCAGAGTGATATAAACCACCCAATACTATTCTTTAAAAATGTAATTTGGACAGCAGTATTTCACAAATAAGAAAAAAAGAAAATTAAGTCTAAAAAAAAAAAAAATCACCTTTCCTGGTCTCACTTCTGTAGAAGTATTTTTGATTAAAGTCTCAGTAAAGAACACTAAGTGTTGGGGTTTTCTATTCTTTGAATACAAGTCAGAGTCTTGGGTGACATGGTTTAGTGTGTGATGCCCCTGCCCATGGTCCTTTCCAACCCTAACTATTCTACAGATTGCTTCCCCACACAAATATTGTACGTGGGCAAAAGTTCAAAGTACTGGTAGCTTTCTCAAAGCCTTTATGTTCAAGAACCTTCAGGATGTGAGCTGTTTCACTTCAAGGAAGCATTCACGTACTAGCCATATGTCTCACAATTTATTAATATTCAACAGGAACAAAAAAATTCATAACACATCCAAGCGGCCTGGCTAGAAAGCTTCTTACAGGAATATTTTTGTGCTGTGAATATTTAACATAGCTTAACATTTAGTAAAGTGTGGCTGAGATACATTATTAGAAATTTTGTTGATAATTGACACATACATTCTGCTACTTTAATCACTTACTGACTCATCACTCAAAGTAAAAGCTTCTTGTTCTTACCTCATGTATGCATAAGCACCTAATAAAGCTATCTATCTTGTCAAAAAGAACAAAAGCAGATGTGAAAGACCTGTTTCTCCCAAGACAGCCATATAATGAAAAAAATAGATGCTTAAGCCTCTACAATAAATGTTCTTCAGTTTGCATGGACCGCAGTCCACATCTGGCCACAGTGACAGTTTATAACAGAGAAAAGAACATACTGTACACAGTCTAATCAATCCAGTTAGTAGATGTGAGAGTGAAGAAGCTAAAGACAAGAAGGTATAAATCCCAGGGATAAAGCATCTCGCAGGAGTAATGAAATAAGCTTGGGCAAATATTTTGAGTCCACAGACAAAACACTTAGCTTACATTTTATCATTTTGAAAGATGTTTAAATAAACAGAAAGACAAGAACAGATTTTGCTCTTTAAACCAGCCACTAATAATGTGAGATCATTCCAACTGCAACACTAATTTTAAAGACCAAAGTAAAATAATGCTTAAAACTCAGTTCTGTTCCTACCTGCCCATCTTGACCCACATGAACTTGATGTATCTGCAGGTTTCCCTGTAAAATAAGAGTAGTGACAATAAACATGAATTTGGAATTTTAAAAGTTGCTCTGTCCTGAGAAGGGCCTGTTTCTCATCTCATAATTAAACAACTTCAATATTAAGGAAATCTATTAATTTAGGAAAAAATGCTGAGGCAATTATCCTGGCAATCCAGCTACAATTTGATGGTCAGCACTTAAACCACAGAGGATAAACAGACTAAAAAGCAAGGAGGCTTTTCAGCACCAGCGTGTTTTGCTTTTTGAAAGTTAATGTATGATGTACAGTATTTTTATGCAGAGTTTGTTTGCATGGCTTCTGAGGTAAGATTTGGGATTTTCCTTACCTATCTAAAACTGCAAATTCAAGTCAAACCCTTACTAAACTAGAATTAACAGTATAACACTTTTACATGTATGGAGCACTATTAGTACATAGTTAATACAGGTTGTTATAAAGTTAATGCCTGAGCTAACAGATTATTGTATCAAAATTCAATACCAAAGACCAAGATAGTCCTGTCACTGGAATTACATCTATTACAAAAAATTCTCAATATTGTAAAGTATTTGAAAGGAAACTATAGTTACAAAGTCTAAAATATCTTTACAAAATGAAGCTTTTATTCATATGTTCAGATATGCCTTTTCAGAAGAAGATTTGAATTATAAACACAGCTTCCCAAGCACTTGCAGTGAAATAGCACATTTCTTTGAGGAAAAAAGCACCAATTCTTTGATTTCCATATTTTCTGTATTTTCTCTTAGTGGCAGTAATTGCTCTTATCTTACGTTGTGTACATTGTAATAAATTTAAAACCAGATGTTTTCATCTGTCACAGACAAATGTAGTCCTTAAAAGTCTTACATACGGAAACTTCAGAGAAAGCCAATGGACACTTCAGGATCAACTGGAATTGGTATATGCTGAATCATAATTTTTTCAGTGTCTCTTTACCCAAGAACTGTTCCAGTTTTATTGTAGTACACTATACATCCCTTTGGATCCAGAACATTTTGATCCTTCCATAACTCTCTCCAGGTCTGACAAGCTCTTCAAAGGAGACAGCCTTTAACTATAAGATTTATATAAAATTCACAATAATATTAACTCTACAATAGCTCCCTTTGTTAACAGTACTCCTCTGCACCAAAAGTAGTTTAATGAGATGTGATTTAAGTTACTTTGGAAATGGATTAAACCAACCCACAAGCAGATGTGCTTAACATTGAGCAAAACACACTACAGGGAAATAGTAGATTAAAATTGTAGGCTGCATTTATGTTTAGCCCTAGTTTGCTATTGCTTCTTCATGTAAACAAAGCGCACAAGAAATCTAACAGCATTCTTAGGAGTTAGGGACCTCTACACATTCTAACATAAACAAGAACAGCACATTCACCCAGGTAAATTCAGCTGGCGTTAACAGCTGTTATTCCTGAGTAGGGGGAAAGAAAAAAGAGTTGAAATTAGAGAGTTCACTACTGGATTTATGAATTTCCATTCTAGCATAATATTTTTATAGAGAAAAATATGAAGTGAAAATACTTAATTATCAGATAACTTGATCAGCACCGAAAGCAAGTTCACTTCAGCCCAAGCAATCCGTGAGGTTCCTCGACTGTGTGGAAGACAACTTCCTTCTGCAAGTGATAGAGGAGCCAACAAGGAGACGTGCAATGCTTGACCTCATGCTCACCAACAGGGAAGGGCTCATTGGAAAAGTGACACTCCAGGGCAACCTTGGATGCAGCGATCATGAGATGGTCAAATTCGAGATCCTCAGGAGAGTGAGAAGAGCGTGCAGCAAGCTCACTGCCCTGGACGTCAACAAAGCAGACTTGCGCCTCTTCAGGAACCTGCTTAGTAAGGTTCCATGGGATATAGCCCTAGAAAGCAGGGGGGCCCAAGACTCTTGGTTGATATTCAAAGATCACTTGCTACAAGATCAGGAGTGTTGCATCCCAACTAGAAGGAAGTGCAGCAGGAGGGCCAGGAGACCTCCTTGGATGGATAAGGAGCTACTGAGGAAACTTTGTGGGAAAAAAGAGGCTTATAAAAGGTGAAAGCAAGGACAGGCAGCCTGGGAAGAATACAGGGATGTTTTCCGGGAAGCTAGGGACCAGGTTAGGAAAGCTAAGGCCCAGTTAGAATTAAACTTGGCTAGGGATGTTAAGGATAAAAGGAAGGGATTCTATAGGTACATAGCTAATAAAAAAACGACTAGGGACAACGTAGGCCCCCTCCGGAAGGTATCGGGAGAACTGGCTACCCTGGATTTAGAGAAGTTCTCAATGACGTCTTTGCCTCAGTCTTCACTGGCAAAGGCTCTGACTGCACCACCCAAGTCTTGGAAGGCAGACACAGGGACGCTGAGAATGAAAACGCTAGGCACACTGTAGCAGAGGATCTGGTTCGAGACCATCTTAAGAACCTGAATGAGCACAAGGACCTGATGAAATCTATCTGCAGGTCCTGAAGGAGCTGGCAAATGAATTCACTAAGCCACTGCCCATCATATTTGAAAAATCATGCCAGTCAGATGAATTTCCTGACGACTGGGAAAAGGGAAATATAACTTCCATTTTCAAGAAGGAGAAAATGAATGACCCAGGGAATGAAAGACCAGTCAGTCTCACCTCTGTGCCTGGCAAAATCTTGGAGCAGATTCTCCTGGAAGGCATGCTAAGACACATGGAAAACAACAAGGGACCTCGACACACTTTTGAGGTGAACTGATGACAACCTGATGAAGTTTAACCATGCCAAGTACAAGGTGCTACCCCCGGGAGGGAGCGATTCCAGGCACAGGTACAGGTTGAGAAGAGAAAAGATTCAGAGCAGACCTGTGGAGAAGGACTTGGGGGTGTTGGTTGATGAGAAACTTAACATGAGCCAGCAGTGTGCGCTTGCAACCCAGAACGCCAACCGCATCCTGGGCTGCATCAAAAGGAGCATGACCAGCATTTGAAGGTGATCCTGCCCCTCTACTCTGCTATCACAAGACCTCACTTGAAGTATTATGTGCAGTTCTGGTGTCCTCAACATAAAAAGGACTTGGAACTGTTTGAACAAGTCCAGAGGAAGGCCACGAGGATGATTCAGGGTGCTGGAGCACCTCCCGTATGAAGATAGGCTGAGAAAGTTGGGGCTGTTCAGCCTGGAGAAGAGAAGGCTGCATGAAGGCCTCATAGCCGCCTTCCAGTATCTGAAGGGGGACTATAAGGATGCTGGGGAGGGACACTTCATTAAGGGACTATAGTTATATATCGACGAAGAGATAGACAACAGAATCATGTCATGGCTTGACTTCGCGAACGAAGATTTGGGAAGGGCATTTACCCACGCTTACTACAAGCGCGCTGATGACTAAGAAGGCCAATGTGGGATAACCGTTTCGTCCCTCGCCTGTCGCTGCAGGGCTTTGCAAGTGTGGGTAAACCCTTCGGGCCTGCGCAGTGGATTTATTTTAGGTGAGGCACAGCGTGCGCAGAACTGGCCTCACCCTTTACACCTGAGGTTTATCTGCCAGGGCCTAGCAAGCTTGGACGGTGACAGCAAAGTCCTCAGGTCGTAGGTTTAATTAGAGTATCCTTCTCTTAGATGGATGGCCTTACAGGGCTACACGAGCTCCATCTGCCTGGGTTTGAAGTTGGAGTTGTCCTTCTCCTAGGATGGTTGCCTGAAGGCTAGTGAGCCCATCCTGCCCATGGACACACTTTGTCTGACCCTTCATTTGAGAGCTGACTGGCATGGGAGACCCTACCGGAAGCATAAGCCACCACCAGCATAACTCCCAACTTCACAAGGGCACGCAAGCTCCTTCCCCACGACAAGGGGGTGTCCGTGAAAGAGAGACAACAGAATAGCTAAGGCACATAGAGCCTTCGGAAAACTCCATAAAAGAGTCTGGTGCAATAAACACCTGAAGAAAAGTACAAGGATTAGTGTCTATTGAGCCATTGTACTGTCTACTCTTTTATATGGGTCAGAATCATGGGTCACCTACTGTCATCACCTGCGACTCCTGGAACGCTTTCATCAGACCTGCCTCCTTACAATTCTAAACATCTGCTGGACTGTCTAACGTGTCAAATGCTACTGTCCTCGAACAGGCAGGGGTGACCAGTACTGAGGCCATATTCCTGAAATTGCAGCTGCACTGGGCAGGGTACATCTCTAGGATGAAGGATCACCACCTCCCTAAGATTGTGTCTTATGGTGAACTTGCCACCGGTTGCCACAAGAGAAGTGCCCCAAAGAAGAGACATAAGGACTCCCTGAAACAATACCTTAGCCTTGGCCATACTGACCACCATCAGTTGTCCACCTTGGCCTCCAATCGGGAGACTTGGAGGCACACCATACATAATGCTGTTGACTCCTTTGAGAACTCACGCAGAACTAGTCTCAAGGAGAAAAGACAACATAGAAAGAATCGCGCCCCGCCTATACCACCCAAGGAGACCTTTCACTGTGCTTTCTGCAGCCAGATTTGCCTATCTCACATTGGCCTTTTTAGTCATCAGAGCACTTGTAGTAAGCGTGGGTAAAGCCCTTCCCAAATCTTTGTTCGCGAAGTCAAGCCATGATGATAGTTATAGGACAAGGGGCAACGGGTTAAAACTTAAACAGGGGAAGTTTAGATTTTATATAAGGAAGATGTTCTTTCCTGTCAGGGTTGTGAGGCACTGGAAGTGGTTGCCTGGTGAAGTTGTGAATGCTCCATCCCTAGCAGTGTTCAAAGCTGGGTTGGACAGAGCCTTGGGTGACATGGTTTACTGGGAGGTGTCCCTGCCCATGGCAGGGGTCTTGGAACTAGATGATCTTAAGGTCCTTTCCAACCCTAACTATTCTATTATTCCATCTGTACATATGCAAACGTGTGCATATATATGTCATTATTGAGATTAAAAATTAAGGGAATAAAAAATATAAGAAAGTCAATTACTGTATTGTAGCTTCTGACTGTGTATCAAAATACTTAATTTCTCTGGCCATATTACTTAGTACTTGGTTTTGTCCTGGTTTGGGTTTTTTTTGCCTGTGGACAGTGGGAGTTACTGTTCACAAGACAAGATGTAGAAGGCAGAGGAGGGAAATGAAAAATAGTAAGATAGAGAAAACCGGACAATAAGTGAGGCAAGGAGAGAAGTGGAACTAGAGAGTAGATGATAATTTAAAAGGATAGGAGGGAAGGTAAAATTCAGAGAAAAGGGAAGTAAAATATTTTAGCATCAGCAACAAAGGAAAATGCACTATGTCCTCTGGAAGGGACTTTAACAGCTGTTTCTGGCACTAATATCAGGGTAACAGAGGACATGCCTGTGCTGCATACTGTCATCTGGTAGACAAATTCATGGCATATGTAAATAGTTTAAATTAATTATGTTGGGCACTGAGAACTGTCTAGCCAGAGCAGCATGGATGCTCTGTGGTCTTCTTTCTCCTGCCAAGACTGGTTTGTCTGTGTTGTAATAAGTAGGGAATAGTCTGTTCAGTTTTTCATAACAGCCTTATTACCAAAGCACTTGAACACTTAATATGATCATAAAGTTTACAGTTTTCATGCTTATTACTCATGATCTGGACCTTAAAATTAGATACTTTTTTTCCAGTTTGTTCCTTTTAGTAACACAGTTGTTTGCATGTAACAAAAATTAAAATAATGAAAACTTTAGAGTATAATGCTTTTTTTTTGGGGGGGTGTTTGTCTTGATATGTTGAAAAATAAATTCCTTGGTTAGTTCTAAAATAAATCCATTCAGGAGGTGGTTGAGATAAGTGGTTGAGATGTTGTCTCTCAAGCTAAAATCAGCTGATTTTTTCAGGATACATTATTTATGAGAAATATGCAATTTATTTTATTAATCAAAAGTTTTTGTTATTTAACGGCTGAAAAAATATAAAATGCTAGTTTCTACTTAATGTGAAATGTATTTTTTCTCTTTGAAAGTCTGGATAACACCTTAGAGGAAATTATATTTAAGCTGGTGCCTGGACTTTGGGAACTTAAGTTTTTCGTTTGGTTTTGGGCCACCTGCTTGGGTTGATGGAGGGAATATGGTCAATTCTAGTGATATACCTGTAGCATTGATTTAAAAATTCACAATTAATTCTGCAATGTATCTTTACTATATAGAGTCTAAAGGTTTCCCCAAGTCCTGTTCAACGGTCCCCACAGCTAAAGACGCTGAGTATTCTGAACACAGAGTTCATAAACCTAACTAAAATAATTTCATTTTGCAAAGGCAGTGCAAATACCTAAGCTGGTTCCCTATAATACTCTAAGTACTAAATTTCCAACAAAGATCATCAGCCGTATACAACAATCATTCATGTAACACACGGAACTATCTTGGTTGGTCAAGCAAACAAAAAGAAATACCCAACACACACACGCACCACCCCCGAGACAAACAACATATTGCATTTACTGACATAAAACACATTTCATACTGGCTCCACCACACACCCTCACTTCTACCCCCACTGGTCTCAGTATTGTAACAGACCCCTGAGGTTCAGTTTTAGAATTGGGGTCTTAAATTCTGGCCAACATCTGATCCACAGTCACCCAAACTTTTGGCTCACCTCACTGTCCTGTGTGATTTGGACTTGCTCACCTTGAGGAACCTGGGCTATGTGGAGATGGCCCTGTGGGATCCGCAACAAAAGAAAACACCAAGAAGCATCAGAAGACAATCATAACTAGAGGAAGAGGAAGAACCTTGGATTCAATACAGCTTAACATATGGAAGCAAAATGCTTATTCAATGAAAAACACTAAAGACAGCTTTAAAAATAATTGAGTGCATACATCTTGTTATGCAAAGTATAAGCAGAGGGACTTTGAGGAAAGAATGGTTCATTTTCACATAAGATGAAAGAAAATAGGCATAATAATAACATTTATGTAGCACATTTTTCTATAGATAAAGTGTCTGCATTTTTGACTGATACACAGAGTATGGGACTAACTTGCTTTGGCAGATTAACATTGTGCATGAAACATTAATCTCATTTAAAGACCTTGGAAACTCAGTTCTTAAAAAAAATATGTCAAGACTACCTATTCGTTAAGAGTGAGATTTGAAAAGGTATTTGTAAGTGTCCATAGATCTTCATGCATTCACATAGTTATGATTTAGTACCATGCTAAAGACTCTCAAGCTGCTGTAAATTTGCATGAAATCATCAATTTCAATGCAGTTACACTGGTTTATGTTAGTGGAGAATCTGCCTTAACAGTTTTAATAACGTTAATACTTTGTATTGCTGACCATACCCACCACTTCAGAACAGTATCAACCCTAACATTTGATCAAAACACAGATATGAGTGAACAGAATTCCTCATGCATCCTGACTAGCACAGCAAAGCCTTAGCTACTGTGATTTACCTGAAGGGAGATTGGATTCTAAATAACCTACTTCAGGGTTTACAAAGCTTTGCCTTCATTTTAATATGCCTGCATGAGACAGAGATGAAAGATAATAATTTGGAATTCTGTCAAAGCCTCCTCTTATTTTATAACACGAGAATAATTGCATGTGATTTTCAAGGAAACACAGATCCCTCTATTTCAAACAGTTTCATTTACTCTGGAAGGAAACTGTCTATTCATAGAAAGAAAAAACATACTGTAAGTATCACTCTGACAATAGGGACTGTATATAAAATTATAGCACAGCCCAGTCCATGTTGATATTAGAATCACTTCACCTCCTTAACATCAAGCTCTCAGGGATTCCAGGAAAAAGCAGTGAACATTTAAAAAATTTATTTATAGTGTTTTCAAATATAAGCCACCCGTTCTGACTAAAGGGAGGGGGAAGAAGGTGACTTTATTAATCTTTATACCATGCAGCACTCCAAAAAAGAACTTCTCACTCATCTTTTGCAGATACATAGCTGGCCTTCAAGAACAGTCCTTTCAGTTTATTCATAAATTCAAGTCAATACTGATTATTTTTTTTAAACATATATACTATAACTAACTACTACCTTACTAATGACTCTTATCCTGATATATAATGCAATTTCCTCTCCACACCTCTTACAGTTGCTGTCTGGAGTTCTTCCCAATCACTTTCATCTCAAACCCTTTCCACTTCCATGAGCTCCTTAAAAAATATCCTGGCTAATGTTTAAGTTCTCCTTTTAAGCAATGCTTACAAGCTCTACCAGTTGCCATCAACACTGTGCTGCACATCTTGAAATCTTCCCCCAGTTTCCATGATTCCTCTACTACTAACTGGTCAACTTTCTGCAGGTCTTATAGACATGTCTATTTTCTAACATTCCAAAAGCATCTGTCCTTCACAGCCCATTTTTCTTCATCATCTATCAGAGCAATGTCACCATTTCCATGGTATTTGCAGATCTACATAACCAGACTTGAGTATTCCCTATGTTGATAGAAAGCTTTCATTATTTATGTGTCAATTATTCAGTTGGGTAGATTTGTTTCTTCTCTCCTGCACTGCCTCTCTTACCTGGGGAAAGAATACTATAAATATCTGTCAAAGAGACTTCATTATCCCAAACTCTTTGTAATGGTGTTCACTAAAACCCTTGCAACAACCAGACCACCAGGTACTACAGTTTATATCATTATATAACATCTCTCAGGAATTCTTGATTATTTGCCCATTTCCACCTGTTTTTTTAGCGTGGTTTCTAAGGAAAGTGGGCTTATGTGGTCATCCTGCAGAGTGGGCACAAACATGTTTGTGCATGCTTCCGTTCTGTGCTTGGATACTACCTGGCCTAGTTGAATGGAGTTTTGAGGATTGTATTTTGTTTTAATTTGAATTTAAAACAATCCTTGTAGCCAAACTGTATCACACAGGAATTAAAGCCAAGGTGAGGTTTTTCAGAGTACACTAAAATCATATCTAAAAAAAATTCATGGCCTCAAGTACAGTATGAGTCTCAGGCTTAAAAAAATGTAAATATCACTTTTACTTAAAAATACATGTATCTAAATGAATACACACATAAAGGATTCAGCTAGCAGATATTCAAAAATGCCTGAGAATGCAGGGGGGTTTAAAAGAAAATAAATAAATGTATTCTTGTTTTGAACGTCATAGTTGGAACTACATCTAAAATGTACATCACACACTTAATAGGTCTGCCATTATTATTGTAGCAAGTGCAAGCAAATGGCCAGGTAGAGACCAAGTCATTCTATATATAGCAATGGATTTGCGTTTATTTGCAACAATTGTGAAAGCAAATCCTTCATGAAGGGTTTTGCCAAATAGGGTTTTTTATAAGCCTTCAACGTTTATTTTCTGAAAATCACACTTAAATGATGAAAGGTGACTTCAAAATAAATAAATGAAAAAATTAAACTAAACCAAAGTTTGCAATAAGCTACTTTGTTATAATGGAATAATTTAGAAAAAGTTTAGTACGTACTACTTGGACTTGCCCATCTTCTCCTATTTGGTGGATCTGAACCTGCTGAGCGTTGGCTAGTGTATAGTGTAGTGTTTGGGGCTGGTTCTGCTGAATCTCATTAGAAGCTGAAACTGAACTCTGTGAACCCTCTGAAAGAGAGACAAAAATCCAGGTTTATTAAATGTGTTGATCTCATGCCAGTGGCCAGGGAACAATGCATTACGATTTAAAAACTGTGGAAAACAAACACAATCAGTAAGTAGACATAGATCATTTGTACATTAGTATTCTTACACATTCATTGCTCACTTGTAGATTTGCCTACAAATTCCCAAAGAGTTCCACAGGCTATTTTGTCTCTGAGAAAGCATATGTTTAAAAGCAACTTTTGAATCTAGATTAAAGTTTCTACAACAATAAAAGTCATATTACAGCAAAACCACACACATTTCCTAATCAGCAGACCCTACAAAAAGGAAGACACCTGGTGTTATCTTCGAGGAACAGGAAAACCATTGTGTGATTTCAAGTGGATAACAACTTGCTATTAGAAGCAGATGCATCATAGATTCCTTTCTACATTTTCCAGCTGCAAGGAAAGGATTCTTCAAAATCTAATGGTACATATGCTTTCCTACAGACCAAGACCCCACTAGCAGGTAAATGTATCACTAGATTACATATATCCCTCCAGCAATCAGGGAAAAATCCTGGGGCTATTGATCAATGACACAGCACATATAACAAGTTCAAGTAGGCTTTGATAGGATAAACCTTTAAAATGCCCCAGGATCATACTAATATCATATAGCAGCACACTAAGATTCTGCACCAGTACTAATTTTTTTCTTTTTTTTTTTCTCTTTTGAGACATCTTTGAGAATAGGACTGTCAGAAAGGAATTTTAGAATAATGCATTGCTTGAAGAAATACATATTACATACAGCAATCCTGTAAACAATTTTAACATTTGTCTTTTATTATGCCACAAAAATACACTGAATAAAATCTCTGAAGCATTATGTGGTTTAAAATTTTATGAAATTACTTATTGCTCTGAGCACTCGCCGTATGACCAGGGCCCGGTCTGGGAGCTCTTCTCTGGCTGCCCCAGCAGTGGCCAGCATAGGCACCAAGACAGAGCAGATAAGAGGGGAGGCTGCAGTGCAGAGCTCGGAGTGCAGAAAGTGCCTGTCACTGGTCTCTTGAGGGGAGGGTGCCCAATGGGCAGGGCTGCGCTCGGTGCTCCCTGGTGGAGGTCCTCCTCCAGCAGGTGGCTGAGCTGTGGGATGCTATTAATAGGTTGCAAGATGTCAGGGAATCTGAGAGGAAACAGGAATGCTTGCTCCAGGCCCAATCTGTGCAGGGGCCTCAAGCTTCCCCTCTAGCTCATGGAGAAAAGGAGGAGGCCATTAACCCAGGAAGCTGGGAACTAGTAACAAAAGAAACCAACAAGAAAAGGAGGAAGAGGACAATTAAAAGCAAGGGGCTTCCTCCTAAATCTGTTGTCCCCACCCAGAACCACTTTGCTGTCCTGCAGGGGGCTCATGAGGAAATGCACTGGTGCCAAAAACAGCCGGCTGATGCACTGGTAAAGAAGATCTCTACTGGTGCTGCCAGGAAAAAGCACTAGGTCCTGGTAGTAGGGGACTCTAATTTGAGAGAGACGGAAGCACTCATCTGTCGGCCTGACCCAGTCTCAAGGCAGGTGTGTTGCCTACCTGGGGCAGGGAGCAGGTATGTTGCAGAAAGGCTGCCTGGTCTAGTAAGTACTGCTGACTTACCCACTTCTAGTGACCCATGCGGGTGCTAGTGATATAGATCATAGTAGCCTCAGGAACATAAAGAAGGACTACAGAGCTCTAGGAGAGGTGGTTAGGGTCTCTGGAGCTCAGACAGTCTTTTCGTCAATTCTCCAGGATACAGGGGAGGACCATAGGAAACCTAGGAGGACTGGCTAGGTTAATAAATGGTTAAAAGGGTGGTCTCATAGTCAGGTGTTTGGGTGTCTTGAACATGGGACCCAAGTTTGTAGGCCAGGTCTAGTGGGGCTGATGGAGCTGGTCTGATAAAGAATGGGAAGAGCAATTTTGGTAGGAAGCTTGCTAGACTGGTCAAGGAGACTTTAAACTAGATGTGTTGGGGGAGGCGGACATCATTCCATCCCAACACACCCAGTCAGTTGCCAGCACCTATAATAAAGACTCAGAGCAATGCAGAGATATTTCAGCCGCTCCAGCCAATGAGCCAGCTTCATTTGGAGCTCGGCTCAGATGCCCCTATACAAATGTCCATATTATGGGGAACACTCAAGAGGAATTAGAGATGTGTGCAAGTCTACGGGGATATGATATAACAGGCATCACAGAAACATGGTGGGATGGCTCCTATGACTGCAGTGTTGGAATGGAAGCTTACAGGCTCTTTAGGAAACACAGGCCCGGCAGGTGGGGAGGGGGAGTTGCTATTTATGTTAGGGATAGGCTGGAGAGTATGGAACTCTGTCTGGGGACAGGTGAGCAGTCAACAGAGAGCTTGTCGATATGGGTTAAAGGGAGAACAGCATGGGGAGACATTACTGTGGGGATCTGTTACAGACAGCCTGATCAAGAAGAACCTGCAGATGAAGCCCTCTATAAACAGATAGGAAAAGCCTCATGCTCACAGGCCCTTTTCCTCATGAGGGACCTGAAACACCCTGCCATAAACTAGAGCAACACTATGGCCATGCACAAGCAATCCGTGAGGTTCCTCAACTGTGTGGAAGACAACTTCCTTCCGCAAGTGATAGAGGAGTCAACAAGGAGACGTGCAATGCTTGACCTCATGCTCGCCAACAGGGAAGGGCTCGTTGGAAATGTGGCACTCCCAGGCAGCCTTAAATGAAGCGACCACAAGATGGTCAAATTTGAGATGCTCAGGAGAGTAAGAAGAGCGTGCAGCAAGCTCACTGCCCTGGACTTCAACAGAGCAGACTTTGGCCTCTTCAGGAACCTGCTTAGTAAGGTTCTATGGGATATAGCCCTAGAGGGCAGGGGGGCCCAAGACTCTTGGTTGATATTCAAGGATCACCTGCTACAAGCTCAGGAGTGTTGCATCCCAACTAGAAGGAAGTGCAGCAGGAGGGCCAGGAGACCTTGGATGGATAAGGAACTGCTGAGGAAACTTCAAGAGGAAAAAAAGAGGCTTATAAAAGGTGAAAGCAAGGACAGGCAACCTGGGAAGAATACAGGGATGTTTTCTGAGAAGCTAGGGACCAGGTTAGGAATGCTAAGGCCGAGTTAGAACTAAACTTGGCTACACCTGGGTCGGAGCAATCCCAGGCACAGCAGAGAAGAGATTCAGAGCAGCCCTGAGGAGATGGACTTGGGGGTGCTGGTCAATGATAAAATGAACATGAGCCAGCAGTGTGCGCTCGCAGCTGAGAAACAAACTGTATCCTGGGCTGCATCAAAAGGAGCGTGGCCAGCAGGTCAAAGGAGGTGATCCTGCCCATCTACTCTGCTCTTGTGAGACCTCACTTAGAGTATTGTGTGCAGTTCTGGTGTCCTCAACATAAAAAGGACATGGAACTGTTGGAACAAGTCCAGAGGAGGGCCATGAGAATGATCAGGGAACTGGAGCACCTCCCATATGAATATCATCTGAGAAAGGTGGGACTGTTCAGCCTGGAGAAGAGAAGGCTGCATGGAGAACTCATAGCAGCATTCCAGTATCTGAAGGGGGCATATAGGGATGCTGGGGATGGACTCTTCATTAGAGACTGTAGTGATAGGACAAGGGGTAATGGATTAAAAGTTAAACAGGGGAAGCTTAGGTTGGATATAAGGAGGAAATTCTTTCCTGTTAGGGTGGTGAGGCACTGGAATAGGTTGCCCAAGGAGGTTGTGAATGCTCCATCCATGGCAGTGTTCAAGGCTAGGTTGGACGAGGCCTTGGGTGATATGGTTTAGAGCAAGGTGTTCCTGCCCATGGCAGGGGGGTTGGAACTTGATGATCTTTATGGGTACAAATTGGAGCACAAGAGGTTCCACTTAAACCTGAGAAGAAACTTCTTCTCAGTGAGGGTGACGGAACACTGGAACAGGCTGCCCAGGGAGGTTGTGGAATCTCCTTCTTTGGAGACATTCAAGACCCGCCTGGACACGTTCCTGTGTAACCTTATCTAGGTGTTCCTGCTCCGGCAGGGGGATTGGACTAGATGATCTTTTGAGGTCCCTTCCAATCTCTAACCTACTGTGATACTGTGATACTGTGATACTGTGATATTAAGGTCCTTTCCAACCCTAACTATTCTATGATTCGATTCTATGATTCTATGATTCTGTGATCCTGCCCCTCTGCTCTCATGAGATGTCACTTAGAGTATTATGTGCAGTTCTGGTGGCCTCAACATAAAAAGGACATGGAACTGTTGGAACAAGTCCAGAGGAGGGCCACAAGGATGATCAGGGTGCTAGAGTACCTCCCGTATGAAGACAAGCTGAGAAAGTTGGGGCTGTTCAGCCTGGAGAAGAGAAGGCTGTGTGGAGACCTCATAGCAGCCTTCCAGTATCTGAAGGGGGCATATAGGGATGCTGGGAAGGGACTCTTCGTTATGGACTATAGTGACAGGATAAGGGGTAACAGGCTCAAATTTAAACAGGGGAAGTTTAAATTGGATATAAGGAAGAATTTTTTTCCTGTTAGGGTGGTGAGGCACTGGAATGGTTTGCCCAGGGAGGCTGTGAATGCTCCATCCCTGGCAGTGTTTAAGGCCAGGTTGGACAGAGCCTTGGGTGGCATGGTTTAGTGTGAGGTGTCCCTGCTTATGACAGGGGGGCTGGAACTAGATGATCTTAAGGTCCTTTCCAACCCTAACTATTCTATGATTCTATGTAGTTAAATTCTGTACCACAGGGCTTTCAACTTTTCCAATATCGGTAACTATAATGAAAATATTTAAGAAGCTTTAGCACTCTGCTTCATTTGTAGATCATTTCCTTGCAGGATTGCATATATTGCTTAAATAAGCACCAGATAGCCCTTGTCCTCCTCAGACATGGCTGATTGTTGATATACTCTGATTTTTACAATTATTGGGTTTTTGAACCAACACAGAAGGAAGCCATGTGTTATAAGAATTTAATAAATCTACTTAATAGTTTAAGATTCACAAAAGCCGATGTCTCTCTCACTCTGGAATATACACTTTCATTTCTGGCAAGTCCATTGGTTACTACTGTTTTAAAGACAGACTCAATTCTCTCTCTTCTCGTGAAAATACCCACATACACAGATCTCACTTTCTAGGACCATTAATGCACTGCAACCAGGAGCATGACTGCAATTTGTAGATGAAACAGTATTAGAAGCTCATCCTACCAGGAATCTTCTTTAGTACAAATACAAGATTGGTCAAAGCCAAACCACCCCAGGAGATGCTTGGCTTCCACCAAAGGCCCATGATTATTTAACTACAAATGGTTAGCTACACTTAGTACATGGATACACTCCTTGAGAAGCACTGTAGATATATATATACATGTTGTAATAGAGTAGCCTCTTTGACAATGATAAATGTTACTTCTAAAAAAACATGCAAGAATATAAAATCCACTCCAAAACTTCAATTGTGAGAAAAATGGGTTTCTCTATTTGTCTCTGTTATGCAAAAAGACCCACATTTGTAGGTACTACATGCACCTGCTGCAAATATAACTTAAGATCAAAGTAATTTTCAGGTATACTGAAAACCAAATGTCATTATTGCTTTAAGTTTCAATTTCTGTTGGGGTTGGTTTTATTGCTGTGGGTTGGGGGAGGTTTGTTTGGTTGCTTGTTGTTTTTTTTTTTACCTGAACCACTGTAAGATGACGATGGTGTTCGCCTTGAAAAGCTTTTCACAGCAAGACTCTGACCTCGCTGTTTCCGCCTCCAAGCTGTTCGGCATTTAGAGTCTATGCTTTGCTTAATTCTGTACCAGTCAGATTCTGTTATGCCAAATTTGTAAAATAGGTGACCTGTAATTAGAAAAATAAAGGACTGAAAATTAGTATAAATCCATATATTTTGAGAAAATGCACAGCACACAGTCATACACACTCGCTTTTGTTCACAAGCAAGAACCAATGTTTAAATCTCATTAAGCAAAAGCTTAAGAGGAAGGTATGTGTGTATCAGGAAAATTAAAGAAGCCAGATTTACAAGCTGACAGGTGCATTACACTAAGTTTTCCCTTCCGCATTCTATACACACAGCACATTCTTGCCAAAGTTCCTATAAAACTATAACACAACTGACACATCAAATTCTACAATGATTCTTGTGCATTGCAAAATAAATCTTTATGTGGTTCAAAGAAAAATAATGTTTGGAAATACAGTGAAGACAATCTGGTACAAGCACAAAGATCATCACAGCAATTATGCCCATATTATATACTTCCAAACTTTTGGAGCATCTACTGTACAAAAGAGGGGGAGAAAGGATCACTTCTGCTTAAAAACAGGGCTAATTAGGAAAAAAAAAATCCATGAAAAAAATGTTCCTGAGAAAGTAAACTGCTCTTTCTTAAAGGTCAGAAGTCAGCAGAAGCAATCCACACAAAACATTAAATTGTAAAGAAATTTAATAAAGAAGAAATTTAAGAAGACATTTGTAATATCAAAACAAAACATGAAATAGTCCAGTTAGACACCACATTCAAAAATTAGCCTCCTAAAAAACAAACAGCATGTCAATAGCTTGCACTCAGGTATTGCTAGGTTGTGCTGCCTCCCGTTCTTCATGTACATCAGATTTCTTCAGAAAATTAAAAGGGGTTTTATTGTTCACACTGTACACAGACTCTGCAAAGTTCCCTTTGATGCCCTTTATGCTGAGACAGCACAGACTTTCACCCTCTGTTACTGTTACAGTTTGAGAGTTTAGGGAAAGTGTTACCACCAGAAAAATCTAACTATTGCATGCATCATAGCTTGACTTCGCGAATGAAGATTTGGGAAGGGCTTTTACCCACGCTTACTACAAGCGCGCTGATGACTAAGAAGGCCAATGTGGGATAGGAAAATCCGGCTACAAAAAGCACAGCAGAAGGTCTCCTTGGGTGGAACAGGTGGGACATGATTCTTCCTGCGTTGTCTTTTCTCCTCAAGACTAATTCTTCGTGAGCACTCAAAGGAGTCAGCGGCATTATGTATGGTGTGCCTCCAAGTCCCCCGATTGGAGGCCAAGGTGGACCACTGATGGTAGCCAAGGCTAAGGTATTGTTTCAGGGAGTCCTTATATCTCTTCCTTGGGGCACCTCTCTTGCGGCTACCGGTGGCAAGTTCACCATAAAACGCGATCTTGGGGAGGCGGTGATCCTTCATTCTAGAGACGTGCCCTGCCCAGCGCAGCTGCAATTTCAGCAATATGGCCTCGATGCTGGTGACCCCTACCTGTTCGAGGACAGTGACATTAGACACATAGTCAGTCCAATGGATGTTTAGAATTGTACGGAGGCAGCGCTGATGAAAGCGTTCCAGGAGTCGCAGGTGATGACGGTAGATGACCCATGATTCAGACCCATATAAAAGAGTAGACAATACAATGGCTCTGTAGACACTGACCTTTGTACTTTTCTTCAGGTGTTTATTACACCAGACTCTTTTATGGAGTTTTCCAAAGGCTCTATATGCCTTTGCTATTCTGTTGTCTATCTCTTTGTCGATCGTGGCATCTGAGGAAATGATGCTTCCCAGATAGCTGAACTGCTGAACTGTCTTAAGCTCTGACTCGCCGATGGTAATATGGGGATGGCGATAATCTTCTTGGGGTGCAGGTTGGTAGAGGACTACTGTCTTCTTCAAGCTGACTTCCAGCCCAAAAACCTCAGCCGCCTCCGCAAAGCAAGATGTTAAACACTGCAGAGCTGCTTCTGTGTGGGCAACAAGGGCGGCATCATCAGCAAAGAGCAGTTCACGGACAAGATGGTTTAGGGTCTTAGTGTGGGCCTTCAGTCGCCTTAGATTGAATAGGCTACCATCGGTATGATATTGAATATAAATGCCGTCTTGTTCATCGAGGTCTGCTGTAGCCCTTTGGAGCATCATGCTAAAGAAGATTGTGAATAAGGTCGGTGCGAGAACACAACCTTGTTTCACACCATTGGTTAGTGGGAAAGGCTCAGAGAGTGCATCGCCATACCTGACTTGGCCTTCCTGATCCTCATGTAACAGAATAATCATTTTGAGGAACTTGGGGGGACAACCTAATCGTTCTAAGATCAGCCATAACCCTTTCCTGCTCACAGTGTCAAAAGCTTTGGTGAGGTCAACAAAAGTTACGTATAACCCCTTATTCTGTTCTCTACACTTTTCTTGCAATTGTCTGAGAACAAATACCATGTCTGTGGTACTTCTATTAGCCCTGAAACCACACTGACTTTCAGGTAGAAGTTCTTCTGCGATAGCAGGTACTAGCCTGTTCAATAGTATTCTTGCAAGAATTTTACCAGCAATGGAGAGCAGAGTTATACCATGGTAGCTTGAGCAGTCTGACTTGGCACCTTTTTTCTTATACAGAGTGACGATGATTGCGTCACGAAAGTCTGACGGTATTTTGCCTTGTTCCCAACAGCACACAACTAGCTCATGAAATTTAGCGTGAAGTGCTTGGCCTCCATGCTTCCATATTTCAGGTGGGACTCCGTCAACCCCAGCTGCCTTGCCAGTTTTCACCTGCTGTATGGCCTTAAGAGTCTCTCCCATGGTAGGGGCTAAATCCAATTCGTTTTTCACTGGATGTTGCAGAATGTGCTGGATTCCTTCGCCTTGGACTACACGATTTGCACTAAAGAGGGTTTGAAAATGTTCAGACCAACGATTCAGGATGGAGATTTTATCTGTAAGAAGCGTTTGGCCATCTGCACCAAGTAAGGGGCTTTGCACCTGGAATGTGGGTCCATACACTGCCTTCAGAGCCTCATAGAATCCTCTGTGGTCACCCAAATCTGCACATAGTTGAGTCTTTTCTGCTAGGTTGAGCCACCACTTGTTCTGGATGTCTCTAAGTTTCTGTTGGAGTTTGCTACATGCAAGACGAAAGGCTGCTTTTCTTACATGGCAGAGTGGCTGAGCGAGGTGTGCTTGATGAGCAGATCTCTTTTTTGTCAGCAATTCCTGGACCTTCTGGTTGCTATCGTCAAACCAGTCTTTGTTTTTCTTTGAGGAGAACCCAATGGATTCTACAGAGGACTGCAGGATGCTATTTTTGATATGTTGCCAAAGCGCTTCAGGAGAAGAATCTATAAGTTGGTCTTCAAGCCTAGTTTGAAGGTTAGCCTGAAAGCTGTCCCTCACTGCAGCTATTTGAAGATTATCAACATTGAGCCTCCTCCTTGGAATGCCGCCCCTCTTAGGTTTGGGCTTGAAGTGGAAATTAAGTTTGCAACGCACAAGGCGGTGGTCTTTTTGGCATTCTGCACTAGGCATCACTCTGGTCTGGCAGACATCACGAATATTTCTCTGGTGCACTAAAACATAGTCAATAAGGTGCCAATGTTTAGATTGAGGATGCATCCAGGTTGTCTTCCAGCTGTCTTTCTGCTGGAAGATAGTGTTGGTGATGGTAAGCTGTTGCTCTGCACAGAACTCTAGTAAGAGGTGACCGTTATCATTGCAGCTGCCAACACCGTGCTTGCCTAGTACTCCTTTCCAGGCTTCAAAGTTCTTTCCTACTCGGGCGTTGAAATCACCAAGGATTATGATCTTATCTTCTATAGGAACTTTCTGAGTGAGGTGACGCAGGTCGGAGTAGAATTTTTCTTTTTCTGCAGGGTCAGCTTGCAGAGTTGGAGCATATATGCTGAAAAGAACAACATGTTGCTTATTGTGTAGTGGAAGACGTAAGGAGATAATACGGTCGGAATGACCTATCGGCAAATTTTCAAGTTTAGAGATGATGGAGTTTTTAATCATGAAGCCGACTCCAGAAAGATGACTTTCAGTTTTGCGTTTGCCTGACCAGTAGAGTGTATAGCCAGCACCATGTTCTTTGAGGCTACCTTCCTCATGAAGGCGAACTTCACTGAGATCAGCGATATCGATGTTAAGTCGTGACAATTCATGGGCAATTAGCACAGAACGGCGCTCAGGACGCCCACTGTTCACTGTATCAAGCATGGTTCTGATGTTCCAACATGGCAGTGTCAATCTGGACACACCTTTGGAGGCAGGTGTATGCCTTTGTTTCTTTGTCTTTAATTGACCGCAATAGAAGATGCCCGGTGGCTGCGGCTAGCCAACCAGGTGGAGGGGGAGATGAGCTTTGGTTAGGCCACCTTTTCTAGGCCTCTCTCCATATGGAGCAAGCAGTGCTGTCCTTGAAAAAGGCTGCTTGGTCATTCAGGATGCTGCCAAACAAGACTGTCATCTCCTGGGTCAGACTTGAGCGACCAATGTCCTGAACCGCCTGCATGCAGGGTTGGGTCTGCGACTTCCAGTGCACCTTATCACCTGCCGTTTCGTCCCTCGCCTGTCGCTACAGGGCTTTGCAAGTGTGGGTAAACCCTTCGGGCCTGCGCAGTGGATTTATTTTAGGTGAGGCACAGCGTGCGCAGAACTGGCCTCACCCTTTACACCTGAGGTTTATCTGCCAGGGCCTAGCGAGCTTGGACGGTGACAGCAAAGTCCTCAGGTCGTAGGTTTAATTAGAGTATCCTTCTCTTAGATGGATGGCCTTACAGAGCTACACGAGCTCCATCTGCCCGGGTTTGAAGTTGGAGTTGTCCTTCTCCTAGGATGGTTGTCTGAAGGCTAGTGAGCCCATCCTGCCCATGGACACACTTTGTCTGACCCTTCATTTGAGAGCTGACTGGCATGGGAGACCCTACCAGAAGCATAAGCCACCACCAGCATAACTCCCAACTTCACAAGGGCACGCAAGCTCTTTCCCCACGACAAGGGGGTGTCCGTGAAACCCAAAGAGATTTGGTTAACTGCTCCTTCCATTTTCAAATTCAACATAATTTTTAAAATGT